TTTTTTTATTGGCTGGAAACGTAAGTTTTGGAATTTGAACAAATCATTAGAATAATGATTTTGTGGGCTTAACTTGTAACATGTTGCAGACGTCAAGCGAAAAGACTGGGATGAAAAAAAAGTATAAATTATTAAAGATATTTAATGTTCTTGGTCATTGCAGCCAGAAAAAGACCCAAACAGTACTGTGTAATTTACTTAAACAAGGAATTACAATTAATGAACAACTAATAAAACATGCAAATATCTCAGGGAAACGCAAAAATGAGAGAAAATCGAGACACGTTGAAATAACTTTTCTAGAAATTATCAAGTTATAAAACTAAAAAATGTTCTATTTCTAAAGCTTTTCTCACTACTTTTTGGCTGAACGCTAGAATAGAATTTTGTATCAGCTGACAGAAGCTTCACAAGTTGCAGAAAGAGAAATCCAGCATTGTTCATCAGAAACGTTTAGAGACATTAAGATTTTTGATGCTGAGAGACGTGAAAAAGGAACGATGCCCTTGCTGGGACTCGCTGAACGAAATCGTTTCAAGTTTGCTGACCATTACACCACGAAGGCATGTTAAGAAGGCGGGAGAAATACTTATATATTTCACCTTTTAAAGGTCAACTCTGGATTAGGGAAACCAAACTCCAAATCCTGGTGGTGGAGAATCATTATCCACCACCTTTTTTAGTTCGGACGCCACTGTAGAGACATTGGGTATTTTTAATGTTGGGTGACGTGAGAAATGTGCAGTGTTGTCGCCCGGACTCGAACCTCGGACCTCTCGAATACGCGCCGAGGGTGCTGACCATTACACCACGAAGGCATGCTAAGAAGGCGGGACAAATACCTTATAAACTGTCCTTTGACAAGAACGTATCAGATCATCATGCAGCTGATGACTGAATAAAAGACGTTTTACTTGGAATGCTAAATGAATGACACACGAAATTTATAATACAGACGAAACTAGACTGCGTTACAGAAAAGATGTTTAGAAAATGCTGAATAGAATTGAATTCTGTGACTGTAAAAACACTTGAGCAAGCACTTCAGCACTGTAAAAATGATAAATAAGTACATATCTCAGGTAGAGGCCCTGAATATTTTGGTAAATGGAGGGGTCAATCTCTTAAAAATCAATTAAAAGTTTCCGAAGGTATGACTCTCATGTCGAAGAAGCCGCAGAGAAACTGCAAACTGTAGCTAATGCTTCAAACATCATTGAGAGAAATTAAGGAGATTCAATTTTAGAATGTTTGCCATTCCGCAGCAGTATTTGGATAGCCTGCATTAAAACTGACTATGAAGGGTAACAGAAACTGACAGTGAAAATGATGCAGTAAAAGGGATGACATACATAATTAATCAAATCTAGAGATGTATTTTTAATGCTTTCAGTGCTGAAGAAAACGTTTGAGTTGAAATGTGCAATGCAATTGAGAAACTGTTGTTGAACGATATGAAATAAACATATTTAGAATAGTTGTATGTGACAGAAAATGCTCATCAAAAGCGTAATTATAAAAATATTTTTATTAAAAATTAAAAAATGAATTTCAAAGCTGCGAAGATAGTTTAATTTTATTATTAAATTTTAATTATTTTAATATACATTATTTGATTTATTCTCAGTTATTATATTTTACTTGAAAAGTTTAAAACTGCTATCACGATTAGCATTATGCAGATCACCGTTTAATTAACTCGCGTAATAAACTCAAATACATTTGAAACGGAAGTGATTTTAATAAACGGCGGGTCCTAAATAGATAAAATATAAAAAAATGTATTAATTGTTTTCTGTTTTCAAGGTCTATTAAGAGGAAGAATTTTATTTCGAAAAGTAATTTATTACATAAAACCTCATCTTTGTCAAAATAATCCAGCAAAGATTTCTGTTTTAATCCTGCTAATTCAACCACTAATTTACAAAGAAATCTTATTTTATAGTTTGGCCTTTGTCCAAAACCACTTAGCAACTTAAATGTTAGAAGCAAATTTTATCCTGGATAATTGATTTGAGTAACATCATCTTTCATGAAAGGTTGGGACACCAATTAATTTCGGTGATAAGAATTACTTTTAGGGGAATGAAAGGCTCATTTAAGATCACTTTTAAAAGCAGGTTCTTTTGACTCATTTTAAAGCTATTGCGTTATCCGACTGAGCATTCTGAAATAATCAGACTGCCTTATTATTCGTGATATTGATTTCCAATATTATATTTTATTTTGTGGAAGGAAACATGATCTTTCTCGTTCGGTTGAAGTTGACTCAATAAGTGTGTTGCACTAACAAAAACAGCAACAGTAATTGGTTAGGCTTTTTTCTAATATGGTATATAATTAATTCTATCGCTTTGAATGTAGATTACCATTTCCAAGTTTTGCGGTTTAGTGGTATTTAGAATCATGTTTACTCTATGAAATTTTGATTTGTTATATAAAAAATTCACGTTTTCATCACTTAATTTCTACATTTCCATAGCTGTAAACATAGCTCCAATCTTGCAAGCGATGCTACTCATTTTAGTGCCTAGCCGTCTATTAAACTCGCCTAATACACGTATAGCTTAGAATATGCTATGGACGCGAGTAACGTTACCCCTATTATTTTTAATGCTTAATGTAGTCATTTGTTATTCCATTACCCAGTTTTGATATAGTTATTGTTATTGTAATGAGGCTAATTACTGTTTTGTATTTTCGTATTTTCTAATTTTGTATTTTTTTTCATGCTCCAATCTCATACATCTTTGATGCAGGGAGGGCCAATGATGTATTTACTTTTAACATATTAAAAAAAAACAATGTTGGTAGAAACATAAAATAAAAGTAGAATGCACATAAATATCTAAACGTACACTGATGTACGGTACGTATTTTTCATTTTTTAGATACATTATTTAGTTCAGAGACACAATAATAAGCAATGAAATAGTAGATATGATACTGCATAGCCTATAATAATAACAAAGAAAGCTTCGGAATGACTGAAATATCCAGCCTTTAATTTTTTGTATTTTCCATACATGAAGACACTCCTCACCCACGATCATCAAACAAGTTATTTATAGATCGATGGACATGTAAGAACTGACTGAATTTTCGGAACTTGAGCACTGTAAATTGTACAATATTTTTAGCATTTCTTAAACTTACTCACTTGCAAGCGGAAAAAAGGAGAGTGAACATGTTAGACTAATAGAAAAATGATAGACAAATGTTACATAAGCAGAAAAAGATCGAATGCTTTCCCAAAATAGTCAAAAATACGCAAATATAGCTGAATTCAAACTTTGGTGTTACTCTGCATAGGTTACGCGTTTCATTTTCTGCTTACACTTTATAAACCACTTACATCTTATAAGATAATAAACGTGAAACTCAGGATCAGCTTTTGTAACAGTAAGGGGCTGTAAAAGAGGTTAAAAATCGAGATTAATAGAGATCAGATCTCATCTCTCTAGGATCTCTAAATACAAATGCTGTTTTTGAGGCGGCCTAAGCAAGTGAGAAATACAAGCTTCGAGAACTTTAAGAGTAAGCCGAAAATAGCATAATCTTTTCCAATATTTCATTTTATATTGCACATTGGTGTCATAAAATATGCAAAAAGATTAACAGTCACTGACTGCTGCTACCCTTGATTTCTTAATTTGTTTATTTATTAAGTTTCACTAAATAAAAACAGCAAGAACTTAAATTTTCAGGCTATCGTAGAAAAGCGAAAAAACGAAAGTGCTCATAAATGTTTATCGTTAAGACAAATAAAATATAAACGCTTTATGTCAGTGAGAACGCTTTATGAGTGTTAGATTTATTACAAGATGGCTAGAAGACTTATAAATCAAAATATAAGCTGAATAATAAGTCATTTTCATGATTTAATTTGTCAAGTATCTTATTGCTGTTATTGGTCAAGAAAAATGGTTATAAAGCAATACTATATTGCTGTAAAATCCTTTGCATTGCATTGTTGTAATATTATTTGTTTTCCAAAATAAGGGTAAGTTTCATAACTCTTATCACCTTGTACGTGCAAAATTCTTTTTAAATATTATTTCGGGTTGAAGCAAAGACATTAAATTATAAGAAATCGACAGTTTACCTCTTTTAATTGAATTAATTTAAATTTTAGTTATAGCTTAAGCTCCCACTTCCCTTGAAATCTGTATTTAAATTAGTTAAAAACTCACACATTTAGAATAAAATCTGGAAGACTTGCATAACTTCTTTACATGCTTAATAATATTGAGAAGCACCATAAAGTGGTAATGCAGTGATATTGATTCATGCTGTTGAATTCTATTTAAGTCTAATTTATTTGGTGATATTTTTATGCAATATTTAATTTAATAACTGGTACAACTACATTTATTCACTAGGCAAACGCGTCCAACCATTCATTTTCTTTAGAATCTACATGATTATTCCAAATCATAGGTATTTAAATTATTGCAATATAGTATTACTTATTAACAAATTTAAAAAATACATGGTATTATTCAATTTCATTTTAGTTACGTATTTCAAGCTGAAACTATGCAGTCTATTGGTATTGCTCCTTAAGGTTATTCACAAACTGGAAGATGTCATGAATAATATTGAGGATACTTTGGCACTTACCTCATCCGAGTTCTTTCCGACCAGGAGAAGATCGAAAGGTATGGCAGCGACGACGTCGATGATGAACCATCCCCGAAGGTAGTAGACGGCAATCTTGCCAGGTTGGCTGACCACCTCGTCATTGGAGTTAACGTAGGTGGTCCGAAAGTTGATGAGAATGTCTATGATGAACATGACGTCCACGATGAGATCAATGATGACGATGGGGCCGTCGTTGTCCAACCGCTCCTCGTTCAACAAAAAGGCCGCCACGTAAGGCGTGAAAATGGCTGTATAAATGACGAGCAGCAGGATAATCCAGTCCCATACCGCTTTGAAAGGAGAATAGTGGAGGATAGTCCATTTGTGAACTCGGGGTTTTTGGAGTTTGTACTCGGGCAGGACATCTGCTCCCAATGATAGCACCTGAGAAAAAATGAAAGAAGGAATGGAAAAATCTTAAGTGCTGGATTCTAACTGATACGTTTTTGTAGCCTTTTACATTAAGTTACACATATAATTAATTCACTTCCAAAAACTAAGACATGTTTGAAAATATAAAATTCAGATCTCTAAATGCCTTGATCTTAAATACCCAGATTAGCCTGCATTTGGCCAGTACGCTGGTAGATATCGGAACATTTACTACTTTGTAGGCAGGCTTCTTATTGGGTGAATAATATTTGCCGAAGGCATCCTAAGGTCTCGATCCATTTTTAAATAAGTAATTTTGTTCGAAGTAACAATAGCTGATTGTATAAAGACGACAACAGGAAAGCAACCCTTGTTGCTGCATACATATTAAAGATGATTTTCATATGAAGTTGCTTTAGCCAAATATGAACTTAAATGTAATAGGTAGGCTCCAGCCAGGGCGAATATTCGGTTATCATAGTGCGCGTTGTTACCTTCAATAAGTATCCATGTCATATCCAAGCTTAACACAAAGTTAAACTAAATATACTTAAGCAGAAACCAAACTAAAGAACACAAAGAACAAAGAAAATTTAACTCTTTTACTGAGATAGCAGACAGGTGCAACTGAATTGGGTCCACTTGCTTGTTGAACAGTATCTGAAGTTGTTCTTGACATGTCTGAAATTTGTTTCATTCCCTAAGCTGCATATTCTCATAAAATTAGTAACAAGTAATCAGATATTTTCTCTAGTTGGAGTAGATTTTTCATTACGCTCAAACTTGGCTCCAACATCTTCATATGATAATCTTTTCAAAGAGGCTACAAAAGCACTTGATTTTCAATTCAAGTTATTTTTTACGCATAGAAAAATTGAGAAACAAATGCTGTTTTATTAAAATGGATTGAAATTATTAACGCCACGTATGTAATTAAAAATCCTCATTCCCATATTAATGTTTAGAAAATACCTTTCATCAGAAATATAAATGTTCTTATAAGTTGTCTCATTCTTAGGATATCTATTAATTAAAAGAGTTTAGAATCAACCTTTCCTTACCCACCTAAATTTTATTCTAACTTGAATGATTAGTGTTATTTAATTTCATTTTTACATCACCCCCCCTCGAGTTAAACCCAGAAAATAATGTCTTCAGAACACTATTTTTCAAAATTTCAAATTTGAATATTTTTAATGATTTTCACTTCCCGATCTCTAAACGTAATTAAATTAATGTCATTAAAATTATTTCAATAATAATCATTTATTGAAAACATTTTAACTACTTAAATCGCTTAAGCTACATATCTTTTAATTCTCTTAAAAATGGTAAAAATTTGATCATATCTGTAGGAACACATGACTATTCTGTGGATTAAATCCATTATTTTTTGCTAAAAAACGTAATTATTTTACTGAGATACTTTAAGCCTTTGTAAAAAATTTTCATGCCAAAGTTTTGTCTGTATTGCATTATTTATATTAATTTAAACCTTTAATAATAAATAAACTACTGAAAAATATGACAAGCTAGATTTAGATAGTTTTTTTATAAATTATTTCAGGTATACTTTTAAATCAAAATACACAGTAGTAAAAAACGGAATTATCTTCGTACACAGTATTTTGATATAACATTGCTAGAGATTATCGTAACTTGACGAGTGTCACTTAAAAGTATCACTGGTGAGCACATTAATCAGAACTGATATTTGTTGTAGAAGCACTAGATATTTTAAAATCGCAGCATATGGGAATTCCCACTTCCTTAAAATTCATTCCCATTTCGAACTTTAAAATTCATTCTCACTTCCAACCTTAAAATTCAATTTTACAGTGACTATGTAACCTTGTAATTCCTAACTTCAAACAACTAGAGATATTTTTAGCTAAATTTGCTAGAAATGTCACTATATGGAACTCTACAGTGTATGTTAATGGCAAGTTAAGCATGTAGTAATGTGTTAATAGGAGAGTCCTATCGAAATTTTATTTAATTAACCAGGATCCCCAAACCTTGCTTGCTTTATGAAATTTATGTTCCCAAACCCAATCCATAAACAGCAGGCTCTTGAAATTCTATAGCTCTCCCTTATAATTACAAGACACAGATAGTAGGCCATTTTAACATGCTCTTCACTGCAAAAAGGTAAAAAGGTAGAGCACTTCTGTAGAGATATTAGGATTTTTGGAAGCAAGAGAGATGAAAAATTAGCAACCGCCTTCGCCGGGAATCAAAACAACGGACCTCGGGTATATAGGCCCAGTGTGCAGAACCCCTACACCACGAAGGCACGCCAGGAAAGCGGGAGAAATACCTTATACCTCAAGTAACATTTTAAGGACAAAATATTACCGAAGATTTAAATTTAAATTTTATTTTCAAACAAGATTTTATTATTTTATGAATATACATTCTTTAGAATTAAGCAAGAAAATATGAAAGCTAAAACAATATGTTATGGTACGAGTTTTAATAAAAAAAATCTTCAAAGAATCATTAGATAATGCATTTCAATCCAAAAAAAAACTTTCATATTTATAATTCAAATCATTATAATTTTAGTTTCCTCACTTTATAAAATTAGTTTTCATGTAGTCTGTAACGTTACCTCAGATTTAGTAGTCTTCTGGGAGGCTTTAAACTTAGCTGTGCATTATTTGTAATACTTGAGATAATAACTATTTTCCATCTGTTGCGTAAGAAAACCACTTTACAGGGGAAAAAAATATATTTGCTAAAAGTGTAGATCAATATATCTAAAAGCGGCTATTAATCAGAAGTCTTTTTTTTTTTTTTTTTAACTTCGAGCTAATTTTCCAGCCAAGATAGTTAAGTACATTATTTAAGATGATTAATTCTTAACCAAGAGAATTATTGGTAAGATTCTGAATGACGGCGTAGGTGATAGAGTTTGTAATTAAGAACATTTTTTTTTTTATTATTATTTTCCTTGTCTTTCAAGATTCGCGTATAATTGGCCTTTTGAGCGTTAAGTTTGCATTTCTATCAAACAGCTTTTACGATGTTTGCTAACTGATTTGCAGAAAATCTTTCTTTAAGTTTGTGTTCCTGATTCCATTGATTTATGCAAAAGGGTCGCAAGAGATCTTTAGAATATGAGGAGCGTTATGAGAATCTCAGTATGTCTACAATTTAATGAGACTATTGCTATATGCATTGTGTTCATTGCAAAATTCTATATATGTTGAAGAATTATTATTGTGCCGATAAATCATAAATATGTTTATTTTTTTTATCGTTTAAAAAATTAAAGTGCATTAAACTTGTTTATTAAGCTCGGTTTACAGTGCTTGTGATTTGTGCCAAGCATTTGTACATTGCTTGTGATTTCGTCCAAACTCCTGTGTTCCAGGATGCTTATCAGTAAGTTATAATTATTATCAGAAATTAGAAAAACTCATGTTATTAGAAAGAACGCATCAGAATCATTCTCGAAATGACAACTTTCAAGTTTATCAAAGATTTAAATATATAGTGAAAAGAGTGGGATAAAATTATTTGCCAATTTTGTCGAAGCAATTAAAAATGCATTTCCATACAACATGGAGATTGCATACCATGATTTAGTGAAATTTTCTGCATTATTTCTCTTGTTTAAAATCTTCACTGAACACATTCTATACTCTCATCATTATCAGTTGATTACAGATAGTCACTTATCTTCACGATGTGAATTTCCATAAATATGGTTGTCGTTAACCTTGTAGAGACATTAGGTTATTTCGAAGCAGGAGAAGTGGAAAATTAGCAACGCCTTCGCTAGGAATCGAACCACGAACCTCTGGTATACGAACCCAGCGTGCAGGCCACCACATCACGAGGGCACGCTAAGAAGGTAGGAGAAATGCCTTATATGCTCCTCGTTTTAGGGCGACTGGTGTTTTAGGGGACCCAATCGCCAAATTCTGGGTGTGGAGAATCATCATCCACCACCCTTTTATTTCGGGTGCCACTATAGAGACATGCGGCATATGTTGCGACAATTAAAACTTTCATCGTTTAACACACTTGCATTTGCAACGAAGCTTATTCTAATGACCCGGAAGTAAAATTTGCAATATATCGTTTTTTTTCGGGGGGGGGGCTTATTATGTGCTCCGCCCTTAGGCATTACACGGAAAGGGAGGGATGCGCCGTGGAGGTCTTTTTAACGGAAACTGGCTCGTATCCACGTTGCACATGGGAAGAACTACGAAAACGCCCATGCAGCCAGCCCGTTCGCAGGGACTCGAACCCCGGACCGAACTACTAGTGTTCAGCGGCTTTTACCGCTCGGCCGCTGGTGGGCCTAATATATCGTGTTGGAGACATATGGAGACTTGGCTTGAATAACCGAAATTTTCGAATATGCATGAGGCCTGACAAGACTGCTCCCCCATATTATTGTGGAGCGGCATTTTTTGATTCCCTCTTACCTTTTGAGGAGACACTGCTATGATGCCTAATTATCTGTAGCCATCCGTAGAGATATGTTGATGATAGCGACGTGTTTCAGTACAAAATTCAGTATTTAGGAAGTTATCTTTCAGTAAGGTATTGTCCCTTCGCGCACGACGAACATCTTTAAGAAATTTACACGTAATGTCACAATTTCTTCGCCTTCCACATCTTTCCTGAACTGAACTTATAGGTGACATTTTGAGACGTCAGCCTTCCATGCATAATTTGCTCAGCGAATGCACATAGATTTGGTAAGTTTACTCAGTCGATCAATGATAGACCAGATAATCATTGAAATTTCTCTGAAAATCATCATCTTCAGGAAGGGGCGTGGTCGTTTTTATTAGTCGAGTAGCTCTACGAATCGGAGCGAAGAGGCGATGAAATGATTCTGTTATCGGTGATTCCAACAAGACTTCCGTAAATCATACAAAGGGAATAATATGTATTTTATTTATGCTATTAAGTCCGTTTCCGATAAATGATGTTGAAAAACCAAAAAGTAAAATTAATAGCGCTGTAATTTAAATATGTCAGCATTGAAA